CATACTTCTCATCGCCAGCACTACAAGCCTGGCTATGCCCGCCGTCGAATGGTATAAAGTTCACAAAGATCACCTAGATCGATACGGTAGAAGCATGTCTACTGACGGCGTGAACGTTGCAATGCTCTTTTGCGCCTTGGTACGTTATTTTACTTTTTTCCCTAAATTTTCTTTTCCTATCGTCTTGGTGAGCAGAAAGAACAAATCAAGCAGAGTGTCCTGTTTTCTGACGAATGACGAATGGATGTACTAGCGAATCCAAGGGGTGGGTCTCGGGAACCACCGGGAGGGAAGGGGGGGAGGGGTGAAGATTTTGGTAGTGTCACAATAACATTTACCTGATCCACCCCTAAGGCTCAGAAGTATTCTAACCCTCCCCCCTTCTCTACTATACTCTCTTAGCGACGACTAATCCCTCCTTCGCTCCCTCTTTACCCTTCAACTCCCATGAGTGACCAAGACAGAATTTCTCCTTACAATATCAATAAAATATCAAGCAGACAAATGATTAGAATAAAAAAAATATCAATCAGGGGATTATTAGTTGATCCAATATCAAATTCTCCAAACAAACATCATAACAACTTTATGGCAGACAGTAAGGAAAATTACTGATGAGATCATGGGAGTTAAAGGGTTAAAACCAGTTGATCCTCCACAAACTCCGACGACCATGTTATGAAAACCGGAATATGCTCTCGCAATATTATTTGGCCCATAATTTTGAAAGATTGAACATATAAAAAACTTACAATCACATAGCAAGCGGTAAAATCACAGCTGGCTCAGTTTTTCTCTCTTCTTTTTGCAGGTGGGTGGTGCCTTGACCTGTTTGACTTTCCTGGAAGACATCCCACAACTGACAAAGATTTACAGATCACAAAGAGCAAAGGAAATTGCTGCGGCTAATACCCAATAGCCTCTTTACTGACCTTCAACCGCAGTAGCCTGGATCAGCGACAACGCAGCCCGTTTACAAAACTTTTTAGAAGACAGCTTTGTTTGAAAGCGCGTCCTCAGCTTTGATTGATTTTTGTTGGTTAGCTGCAAAAAAAAAAGATGTTATAGAGAGCTGCCGTATTGAAACGATCCTGTATTGACTTAGTTCGTTTGTACTTGTCCTTTATTCATATTCGACATTTATCATGGTTAACCTTTTTCCGTAGCTAGATTTTTTAACTTAAGTATGCGGCATTTATCACCCCGAAGAAGCGATATCCGTAAGAGATCTACGATCGTCACATAGAATACTATGTTTTTTTATATATCGTTTACTGACCCCTAGTTGAAATAAAACTTGGAGTATAAATTTGAATAAAAGTTTCACTGAACTGCCAATGGTTACCTTTCTTAGCTTTGATCAGCAAAACCTCATTATGGTAAAACGATGTGACAAGAATCGCGACACAGTGAGTATGATCGATTTAGCGATTTCGTTTATTTTAGTTTTCTTTTACTTTTACCATTCTTTGATGGCTTAACAATGGAAGGAAAAAAGCTCAAGGTACAGTCTGTATTCGAGCCAAGTGGCCCACCGAGCCGGAGCTTATTCCGGTTTCCACGTAGCATGAGGCGACTAGGAGTGTCATGACTTCCCCCAGAATAAGAGATACTAGTCATTGCGAAGTTACCTCGCAGCATTTCATTAAGCTTCACTGACAATTCGCCACTGACCCTACTCCTACAGGGTGGAAAGAGGTACTGTGAGAGTTTAGTGCCTTGCACAAGAACACAAAGCTCCACAACCTACGTAGCTTTCCACTTAGGCTCAGACAAAAACAATTCTCAGAAATCCTTCTTACTGTTCTTGGGAAAAGCTATCTTTTTACCACATATTTTTTTTGAAGTCTCTGAATAGGTATGGATATTCCAAATATTTATATGAAAATCAACACTTACATATTTCGTTTGTTACATCTGTATGCCATGTTTGAAATTTGACTGAGCATTCACGTCCCCTGCTTCCATATTAGACAGAAAACCATTGCAAAGTTGGAATGCAAGTCACCAGTCAAATGCTATACATATAAGCAATCGGAATTTTTTACAAAACGGCGGAGAAATCAGACAGTTTTTCATCAAAATCTTCCAAACATCCTCCAAAATTCAATTCGTTGAATAAAATATATCAGCTTAATTTACTGGTGTAATAATCTCCGCATGCGCATTGCGCGTTGAAGACCACTCTTCACGGCTTAAAAAAGGTTTATATGGTCTCTTTGGAATGGTCAGGTAGCTGTAAATTCACCGATTGTTCTCCTGAATTATCGAATGCAGTCTAGAGTAAAAGCAAGTGGCGTTAAACGTAATGGTTCCAATCCCGAGAACGGTCGCAATATTTGCACATGTACGTATTGCGTACCTATATTTTCTATGTTATTTTGGTCAAAAATGAAATCTTATAGATACAAGGTAATGTGTATTACCTTTTCCACGAAAGCTGTCACGACATAAGTAGCTGCACCTTTGTCCTAACAC